CCCATATAGGGACGGCCGGTTCGCTCACTGGCTGAGCATGGTGCTGACAACACCAAGTCAAGGGTTGAGATCCCCTTACCGGTCATCTTTAAAAAAAAAAAAAAAAAATCTTAGAACTATGATTGGCATCAAACGTAGAAATGGAAAATTGTCTGTAATTTTTAGGAGGAGCCTTAAGTGACTAAAAAAGATAAGAATAGCAGGAGATGTAAAGAACTTGGATGGCTGGCCAAATTTGGGAAATATCTAAACCACACAAATAGTATAGGAAGTAATTTGTATTTCTTCAGGCTTATGTTGCCTAACAGTGAATTGTACACAGTTCATTCTTAGAGAAGGATATTAAATTCTAGCACACTACCTGGCCCTGCAAAGAACAATACCTACATGGTTGGGATGGTAAAATTGCTGTTTATTGGTTGTGTTTATTTTCCTTTGCTGCATAACCAATTACCACAAACTTAGTCACTCAAAACAACACCCATTTATGAGCTCACGGTCTATAAGTCACAAGTCCAGGCACAGTGTGACTGGGTGCTCTGCTTACGGTCTTTCAAATGTCAACATGTTGGCAGGGCTGAATTTCTTTCTGGAGAGTCCATGGAGGATCTGTTCCAAGCTCATTCTTGATGCTGGCTAAATTCAATACCTTGTTATTATAGGACTGAGGTTCCTCTTTCTTCATTGTCTGTCAGCCGGGGGCCACTCTCAGCTCCCAGAGGCCACCTTCATTCCTTACAATGTGGCACCCTCCATCTTCAAAGCCAGCAATGGCACATCAAATCCTTCTCCTGCTTTGAATATCCTTGACTTCCCTGTCTCTGACCTCTAAACCCAGATTTAAGGAGTTCCTGTGATTAAGTCACTACTACCCATATCATCTCCCTGTCTTAAAGTCAACTGATTTGTGACCTTAATTACATCTGCAAAATAAGTTCACTGCAACTTTTATATTAGTATTTGGGAGGTATGTGTATACCAGGGTAGGGAATTTGGGGGGATCATCTTAGAATTTTTCCAATTATATTGGTTTTCAATTTTAGAATCTAGGGCCAGCCCCGTGGCTCACTCAGGAGAGTGTGGCGCTGGGAGCACCGAGGCCGCAGGTTCGGATCCTATATAGGGATGGCCGGTGCACTCGCAGGCTGAGTGTGGTGCAGACCACACTGTGCTGAGGGTCACGATCCCCAAAAAAAAGAATCTACCTTAGACTCTAGACCAGTAGTTCTCAACTGGGGTGAAGGGAGATTTTGGCCGTCTTCCCCAGGAGACATGTGGCAATATCTGGAGACATTTTTGGATGTCATCTAATGGGTAGAGGCCAGAGATACTGCTAACCCACCTACAATGTATAGGAGAGTCCCTACCACAAAAAATTATCTTGCCCAAGATGTCAGTAGTGCCAGCACTGGGAAACTCTGCCTTAAACAAGCATGAAAGACAATTATTATTATAGTAGAGTTATAACTACCAATATAAGCCATGTGAATGTAAAAGTATAGCTGATGTGACACAAGATAGAAAGATAGGAGGAAAAGGAAAAAAGAGTGTGGGGTATTATCTATATCTGACATAAAGAGGAAGCTGAAATTCTAGATTAATGGACAATGAATGGACGGTCATTATATTATTTAAAGTTACAAAGATAAAGAAAAACAATAGTAAAACTATCAAGCGCTAAGATGAGGAGGGAGAAGGGAAGGGGAGTAAGGAGTAATAAGGAGGCAACAGATATTGCCTAAAATTAATAAACAAATGATACTTCCAGCATTTCATTTGAAATTATGCAGGTAACTACTAGAGAACTTAAACTTTTAAAAGGATTAAAAGAGGTTATCTCAAGGAAGTAGGTCTGGGAATAGAGAGGATAGGGTGGGAGAATGTTTTTTGTTATAAATTCTGCTGTACTTTTGGATCTTTTTTTAAACCATGTACTTGTAGGGCCGGCCCGGTGGCGCACTGGATAGTGCGCGGCTTGGGAAGCGCGGCGGCGCTCCCGCCCGAGGGTTCGGATCCCACATACAGACCGGTTCCCGCTCGCTGGCTGAGCGAGGCGCGGGAGCAGCACCGAGGGTTGCGATCCCGTTGCCGGTCCCCGGTCCGGTACAGGGGCAACACTGAGGGTTGCGATCCGTTGCCGGACACGGAAAAAGACAAAAAGACAAAAAAAAAAAAAAAAAACAAACCATGTACTTGTATTACTTTAACAAAAATGAAATTTTTAAAAAAGAAAACTTAGGGGGTTAACCTAGGTGATTTACTCACATTACAGTAGCAATATTTTCTCATAATACAATAATAGTACATGGTACAGTAAAAATGATGTTTTACTAGGCACATGTGATAGCCTATAAAGTGGAATTTCTTTAAGAATCTGGGCTTCCGGTCAAGACAGCAGAATAGAAGGTCCCCAGTGTCACTCTCCCCCACAAATCAATCAATTTACACTATTGAAAAGCAAGACAGCCAAGCTGTGGCTGCTAGAGCTCAGGGGAAGAGGAGGAGAGACCTATGGAGTGCATGAAGGCGGGAGAAGCCATGACGAGAGAAGGAAAGAACTGCTCTTACCATTTTGAATCCCAGCCACTTCCAGGCTGGCCTTGGTGAGGGCATGGAGCAGGAGCCAGCAAAAGCCGCAGCTGTGCCCTTCGGATGAAGCTGCTTGGAGGCTGCAGGGGAGAAGAGGGCCTTGGAGGCCCCAGGCCAGCAAGACCGCTAACAGGGTTCCCACGTACCCACATAGGAGCAAAGAGTCACAACAACTGAAAAAAAGGAGCCACTCAGAGGCCAGTGAGTCATACAAAGGGACCAGCACACGGCCTGCCCTGTGGGAAATATTTGGAGTGTGGACGGTGGAGGAGATGGGCCCAGCGGGGGAACACTGGGACACAGCAAAAGGACAGCTGATCTGCCCCCCAATCAGCACAGGACCACTCTATGTAGACTGGTCAGGAACATAGAACTGCAGGGGGTGCAGTTTGCTGAAAAGACTCAGGCCCAGACCAGAGTGTCTACACAACCCAGGTATACTGGATCTCATGAGACCTGGAAGTACCTATAAAGCCAACTACTAAAACCTGAGCTGCACAAAAAGCCTTCCCCAGAGTATCAGCAGCAAAGCAGCAATTTAGCTCAACTACAGAGCTCAAGTGCTGGTCCCCACAGGAAGTTCCCCCATTTTAGAAGTAAACAAAGGACAACAAATTAGTTCCAGTGCAGAGTTTAAGTAGTGAAAACAGTGAATAATTCAACACAGAACTGAAATTAAAAACAAAATACCCACAGCCCAAAGACAAAGTTTGATATTAACTAGCAAAGCTCTCACTTCAGCAAAGAACACCTATAAAACCTAGAAAGACTGGAAGCCCCCTGGGCTCCCAAGCCAAGGAGGGGGGAGGGCTGGGGTCTAAGCCATGCCCCTGACCCCTGACACCCACAACCACCCCAGCGATGACCACTGAGAAACCCCAGGAAGTGCCCCAGGCCACTGAACTAGGACAGTGGGGTCAAGGATTTCAGCCATGCCCCCCCAACACCCACACCCAGCCCAGTGATGACCACCAAGCCACTGCAGAAAGTGCCCTTGTCTCCCAAGCTGCGCAGTAGGGTGCCAAGAGCCTCAGTCATGGCCCCCTGACACCCACACCCAGCCCAGCAACAACCACCAAGCCGTCAGAGGAGGCACCCCAGGTTCTCAAGCCAGAGAGTGGGGGCCATGCACCACCACCCCCGAACACCTGCAACAAGACGAACAATGACCACTGAACCACTGCTGGAAGTCCCCTGGTCTCCCAAACCAGGGTGGTGTGGGTCTGAGGGCTTCAGCCACACCCCACTGACATCAGCGTTCAGCCCAGCAATGACCTGTCCTTCCACAACCAGGCACACTGCTGCTGCCATGGGGCCATGCCTGGGGTCCTGAGGTTGGAGCCGGGGACTGACCCCTCCTTCTGCAATCAGGCAAGGAGCACACCAAAAACACCAGTTCCATGTGGGTGGTTCACACAGCCACACAATAACCATGGCTGCCGCAAAAGCAGCTAGACACCACAACCACTGTGCAGATGTTTCACCAGCCACTGGAGTGCATTGACACAAGGAGAGTCACAAACAGAGACCAAAGAAAAGAAGAGGACATCTCTCTCCACAAAGCCCATTCCAGAGTGATAAAAAAAGCATCTGCTCTATGATAATAGTGGGGGACCTGAACACACCTCTCAGCATTGGACAGATCATCTAGGCAACAAATCAACAGAGTAACCGTTATTGTTTCAGAAGAAGGGAAGAAATCTAGGGTTATCAGACGTGGGAGGGTGAGGGAGTGGGGATACGGAGAGATTGGACAAGGGGCATGAAGAATAAGTATGATTTGTATTAATATATATGTTCATTATATTGATTTGATCAAATACATCAATGTTGAACCTCAAAAATATGTATAATCAATTATGATTCAATAAAAAATAAATGAATAAATAAAAATAAGAATCTGGTCTCCTGGGCATGCTGTCCTCAGACAAAGTTTTAATCATTTGCATTGCAGAAAAGTCAGTTTTTAAAAAAATATATTATGTAAAACTACTATCATTTACAGTTACCCCAAAATTGTATAGAATTATGAATGTAGACTAGAAGGAGAGAGCAAATTAAAAATACTTCAAGTTGTTAGTTGAAAGGATGATTAATGTAGGTGAAAACTATACAGGTCTTCACTGTGCCCTTCTTTCAACTTCTGCTTATGTTTGGAAAACTTTCTAATAAAACAGTTGGAGAGAAATTATAACTATATACTCCTCTTAAAATATTATACGAAGATAAGTATTTTCTTTTCATTTTTCAGTTGAGTATATTATTGGCTTCATTTGCTTAGTGTACAATTGTTCATCTTTAAAAAATACAATATTTTGTTTTGCCCTGTTGGCTGACAGTAAGGAAAATTTATAACCAACAATGGCCAAGTTCACTTGAGGAATCGTCTTTGTAGATTCATTTGTAAACTCTTAAGAAGGAGTTTTATGGTCATATGTTTCACGTCTCCCTCGACGTGCCCCTTTTCTGTTCCTCTTGCTGTGGTCTTTCCTCTTATGGCAGATGTTGCCTTTGCCATGTCCCTTGGCTGCTTGGGCCTGCACCCACCGCTGAAGAGTGTGATTGCGCGGGCTGACACAGATTCTTCTGCGCTTGACACGAAGGCTGCCAAGAAGTGAAGAAAAAAATCGCTGATCAAACACACAAACAAATAAAAACGTAGTGACGTCTAGGCAGTTCCTACTTTTGAAAACAGTATTCTTCGGGACTGAATCCTAAAGCTAAGCACCACAATGTGAAGTCTTGACTTCACACACACACCGTTCCCTGTGGGTCCACAGTCATCAGCAGGAAGTATTAAAAGAGGAAGAGAAAAAGGAATTAGACGAGATGGAAAAGGAGAAAATGGGGGAAAAGGAGAAGAGGAAGAAGAAGAGGGGGAGGAGGAAGAGAAGAGAAAATAGTAAAAACCAAGTTAAAACGATTCTCTTCCCTGACTCTAGGCTTCAGCCCACCAAATCAGTTCATCCTCACCATTCGTCTCAAACACAGCCCTCTCCATGAAGTTTTCTAGATCCTTTCAGCTAAATGCCCTCTTTTTTCCACTCTGATATCCATGGTGAGACTTCCCTCTCTACTAGCACTCAGTGCATTCTGTTTTTTATTCGAGTACTTGTCTCATCTCTCTCACTGGAGTTATGCTCCCTGAGGAAGGAACAGTCTAGAAGTATCTTGAAAAGGCCTTGTTCACAGGAGGAACTAGTAATTCACTCTAGATGTACAGTGAAAATTGTTCAAAATAAGGACAGTCTGGTTTTGTATTCAACAAAACAATCAACTAAAATGTACTAGGTATTTGTTAACATTTTAATACACTATGAATCTATGTCATAGCTCAGAATTTGTTTTCATCTTCATTTTTCTATATGAAGTTTTGACATCGGGCTGGAGAACGCTAGGAAGCATTCAAAATTTTTGGTAACTAGAAGAATTTCTCATTTCAAAAGATGCTGTGACTTTTAATTCCCTATCAGGTGCCATACAGCTCTTACCAAATGTCGCAAACCCTACTGGCTTTACACGTGTGATATTTCTGTGTCCAGATAAATTTTAACACTTGACCTTGTTACTCAGGGAAAAAAACAGGGGGATAGACAGTAGGCTGCCATTTCTCCAGATGACGCAAGTGGAATCATTATCAGCTAATGTAGGGACTCTTGAGATGGGGGAAGTGGAGAAAGGTGTAAATGAGCTTTAACATAATAAAAGCAGCATGTGGGGGGATATTAATTTGAAAGAAGTGGGGCATCTTAATAAGAGGATCATACGTTCCCTAAGTGTACTGGATTTAGACATCTTCAAAAGGAAAGCTAATTCTTACTTTGGCCAGTTGGTTTGCTATTGTAGGAGAAAACTTGGCTGTAGCACAGCTGTGGAGGAAAAACAGAAAACTGGGGTTGAAGCTCCTACCTGTTCCAAAGGACTAAAACTCTCTCCTCTCCCTGTGGTGTCAGCAAGAACCCAAGCAAATAAAAACTTCACTGACATCCAGATAAATCTATGGGGTACACAGGAAGGAACTAGGACTCAACTCCATTATTAAAGTGATGAGTGATGAGCTTCAGGAAGGGCCATTAGCACTGGGGCTGAAGGAGAGAACTGGATGGGGAAATACAGACAGAGGATTCAGAGAGTTGGGGGGCCACAGGAGAACAGGCAATAACCAGCATGTGGGACTCTTTTCAAAGGCCCACCTGATGAGGTCTCAATTTTCCAATGAAATTCAAGGGAAATAAATCAGCTACTAGAACACAGCTCCCGAATCTGAGATGCTATGATGTTTAGAATCCTAAATTTGAAAAACTGCTCTCAAGCCTCTATTTGTATTTCCATGTGTATTCCATCAGGATAAAAAGATATGACATAATTAATGCTGAGAAAGGAGGTAGCCTATTCCACATGTCCTCCCCTACCCCCAACTCCATGGTATTCTGATGGGTATTGACCCTCCTTCCACCACCCCCTACTGTGAATTTCTAGGTGGAGAGTTTTGACTGTAAGAAATCATGAGGCTGATCCCCTGATTTTTTCACCCACAGTAGCGTAACTAGAGACAGGCCAATAGGCCTAAAGGGATGGATCTACCATAGAGATTATACCTACAATTTTTTGCTAAACTTTATTTCTTTACCCATTCCTCTAAACACAGCAGACCTTCACAACCACTTCTGAGAAACCACTCAAGCCTCCCAGATAACTTTATTTAATAACCCCAAATTTTCTTCCCAACGGATAACATCTGTATGTTTCAAGAAACTTCAGGCCTCTGGCTGAGATAAACAACTTTTCATTGTATTTATGTTAAGAAACAGACAGAAGCTCTTTTATAAAGTCACCATAGAGGGACTTAAACAAGCAAACTGCTGTCTCAGCCATCAAAAATTAGAATGATCATTTACAGCATCTGAAACAAAGGACCTATTTCTAGGCAGAAAGGAACTGAAACCTAGTGAGCTCACTGAAAGTTAGTTTATATTAATTGTCATTAATGATAACATATAATACTTTGAAATTATATTTCCAAAACTTGTAATGTTTTCTGCATCTAAAACACTAGTCTCAAACCGTAAAGTCTTTACACACAGTCAGGGTTAAGGGAGTACATTTTGGATAAGTAAAGCTTTGAAATTATATTTCCAAAACTTGTAATGTTTTCTGCATCTAAAACACTAGTCTCAAACCATAAAGTCTTTACACACAGTCAGGGTTAAGGGAGTACATTTTGGATAAGTAAAGACAAGCTCTGTAGTGAAACAATTTGAAAACAAGAGAATCTTTATCTATTTATGTTGAATGTCAGGAAACACAAAAGAGAGGATCTGTAATTTATGATTCAAAAAATACTACATAGTTGAATTTAATTTTAGTTGAGACCAGGACATAACTACTCTAATTTTCAGCTTTCTTATCAACACAGAGAGGTCAATTTACAAACTTATGTTTGGATTTCTAGATCCAAGTGATTGGCTTCATAGTTTCCCTTTAATTAAAATGGAGCTCTTTTTAAAATGAAGACTCGTGTTTTTTTAATCATATTTTTCCTTATCAAAGTGAAGACAACGTCATTTCTATTCCTATACTTGTTAGATCTCTGACACCTGCTTATCCCAAAGAAACTTCTCTAAAAATCCTCTTACCAGTAATGTTCTCCGAACCCTAACCCAGAATCTGCCTCTTACTCTTATACAACCAAAGAAACTTCTTCTGATTTTGTTTTTGGGGGTTTTTTCTTGGCAGCTGGCCAGTAGAGGGATCTGAACCTGTGACCCTGGTGTTATAAGGCTCACTCTAACCAACTGAGATAACTGGCCAGCCCTCCAACCATTTTTCTCTAAGCCTTCCTGGGAGTCCCACAGAAGCCCTTACAAGCTCTCAAGCCTCTTTTAGTTGGAGGTGACATATGCCAAAGAGATGGAAGGAATTCAAAGGAGTTGAAATTTTGGTGTTTCTGAGAGCAACCAGCGCTGTCTCAGACAGATTTATTTCAGCTCTGTCAACCCAACACAAATATCCAGATGTTTTCAATTATCTAGAGTATTGTCTATTCATAAACTGTCTATGAGTTTTTCACTTTCCAACTATTGCCAACAGTGTTTATTAAGATTAAATAAGATTTAATGAAAGACTGGTGGAATCTCGTCCAGGCATATACCATAAGAGTTTTTCAAAGAAGTCAGGAACTTGAAGCTCCCCAAGAAGGCACCTCCTTAGTATGTATGAGGGTACTTCGGAAATGTTGTGCAAAAATAGAATTAAAGATAATACAAATCTTTCCATGAGCTTTTTGAAGTAACCCTCACATGTCCAGGGATTTTCTCCCATGAAAGATGTTTACATATTCATAGAAAAAAAATTGCAAGGAATTCACAGGCCCTGACCTGAAGAGAGTCTATCAATGGGTAGCTTACAAACACTTCCTCTGAACTTTTAAGAACTCGTGTCTTGGAACAGTGTTTCTGTTGAGTAATGGATAGATCCCTCTGAAAGAGATCTAAAATCACCAGAGGTGGAGTGCAGAAGTCAGCTGGATTGATCATTGATCAATAAATATTTGTTCTTTGAATAGATAAGGAGGTAGGTTCGTGACTGAATCTGGAGCTCAGGCATAAGCAAAGGGCTTCTTTATAGCCCACAGAAAGGGACACCCAGTGACTCCCCAGCATCTTCTAGAACTGTAAGTGGCATTAAAACCAGCATGAGAGGGAGATCCCTAATACCTGAATGCAATGGAGTTTTGGGAGAGCATTTAATGGTTAGTCCCGCTATCCATTTGGTATGACTTTGGAGGAATAGTGCTCTGAACAAAGAGACCTGGGCTCATGTCCCATTTCTGCCCTTCACTAGCTGTATGACACCGGGTGAACTATGTAATCTCGGTCACAGCTTTCACCTGTGTGTGATGGGAGCTAATTTATTTCTTCTTCACAGCCTTGTTGTCAAGAGTCCAGATTTGCTAAACATTAATGCAGTTCAGTTTTTAAAGCCTCTACACAGATGTAAGTACATATAATTCTAAAGCTTTTAATAACTGAGCCTGGATGGGGGGTGGGGGATGGGAGGGGTGAGAAGGTTTACCATGAGCCAACACCCCAGAATTAAAAGCAAGGAAGGGCCTTTGTGATTAGATTGCACGGAGCACTTGTGACAGGTGCAGACATTTTTATACTTCTCTTTGAATCTTATAATATGCTCCTGATGAGTTCAGAGAGTTAAAATGACAGCAACCCATATACTTGCCTGGAAAAGTTACTGTTAAAGCCATGAAATATAACAGAGTCACCTTCTGTTTGGATTTTGTTTTTTCACTAGAATGTCCCTTGTTTTGCTTAGCAAAGCCGTGAATGTTTTCTGGTGACTGAGGATATTTAGTCGTAACCACAGCACTGCCGCAAGGGGGGTGGAGTGCTGGAAAGCTAGTGTGGGGCACAGGACACCCCTGTACAGACAGATTGTACATTTACTTCAGGGAGCCTGGGGCACAAAAGACAGGGTATCTACTCTCCCCTCCCTCAGATAACTATTTGTATGTCGTGTATCAGGCAAAGCCTTTCTAATCTGTTGTTGGTTGGCTGGGGAAATAATCACTGTGCAAGTTTGGACCTCCCTGCTGAAGAGCACTCACATGACAGCAGCCAAGTCACAATCCCCATCAGCTCTCTGGATGCGACATGCAGTTACTCTTTCCAGAAGCCTTCCGGAAATATGATGTGAAACCTCAGTGCAACAGCTGGAGGCAATAGGAAGTATGGCTAAAAGAGGAAAAGAAAAAAAAGTTAAATCTTACAGTTTATAGAATACTAATGTGGGTCTCATCTTAATGATTCCAGAGATACAGAGTGTCAATCCACTCAAGCAAGGGGAAAACACTTCCTGAGGGCTTTGAGAATGCAGACCTGGGGCAGGACATGTCTCTGCCTCTGGAACTTAAACTGTATCTGTGACAGATAAGTAAATTTAAGCAAAGACCCTAAACAAGTGAAGAGACAAAAAAGCTGCAGACAATGATGCTAGTGGGGTTGCACACGGACTTGATCAGAGATGAAAGGAGTGAGGTCAACAGAGTGTCCCAGGCTGTTCAGAAGAAAGTGACCACATGGGCCTCTGGCACAGGTTTGAAAGTTTCCTAGCACAGAAGCAGTTGGCTGAACCCTGAAGGATTTACAGGGGTGGAGAAAAATAGAGAACTCTTGCTCAGACTAAAGGAAGTGCAGTGTTGGGAACATATAGGAAAATGGTCACGGCCCCTCAGATGTTCAGAATCTTGCCAAACATTTGATGTAAATATGCACGTGCGCCCACATGTTCCTTGTTTATTGTCTAATGTAATTGAGCATGTGCACCCAGGTGTCCTGGGTTATGGACTTAAGTATAAAGGACTAAAGGCTCTGATACGTGGTGTTTCTCGGGACCTCCGGGAGGCCACTAGGGTGGCTGCTCCTAGCTCTGAATAAAGCCTATTAATTTTTTACCCACAGCTCCCCACAGGACCTTTTCCCATTACCTAGTTTGTAGACCTGCATGTGAGGGGTTTGTGACCCAGTCTGAACAATGGGCTTGAGGGGTCTGGGAGCCCTAGCCCTGTTGGCTTTAGTTATGAATTGCTTTAACAATACCATTGGTGTAGCTGTTAGCTATTGCCTCAACCCAACAACTGGTGTAGTCATGTAGCTTTACAATTGGCATAATTGTGGCAGGATTCCAGGCAGGAAAAAGAGCCCAGCAATTGGCCTCTTGGGTAGGATGCCAAGCAGGTAAAGAAGCAGAAAGCCCTCTGGGAGGGGGAGGAAATGTGGCTACCCTTGGATATGTGGTGCCCAGTGGCCACTTTCCTATTGATTGGGGTCTGGCTGTTGTTCACTGTACTGTGAGACAACATGGACCAGAACCCCCACAAAGCAGCACAGTTTCAAGACTTGCAGCAGAAAGCAGACAGGTTGGAAGTACAAGTACATGCCCTGGAGGCTGAAGTACAGCAAAGGGTCATCACTGCTTCTGACACCAAAGACAAAGATGAACCATTCTGATGGTGAGTTGGGGGAGACTGTGTGTCTCCTGGTAAAACCTGCTCATCAAAAAGTGAAGCACAAGCAGCCTATGGGACCAGATGGACCGGTAGGCAACTCACAGGTGACCCAATTCACTACCTATGTCCCATATACCCAGGTCAAATTGGTTGGCTTGGGGAAAAAAAGCAGCAGAAACGGGGAGAGCTCCTGGCTGCTGCAGCTGTGGGACCTAGGGGTGGGTGGTGTAACATGCTCTGGAGATGATATAGTAAATGCATGTCGCGTTTGTCTGAAGGCAAATGGCTCACCAGGTGCCACTTTAACCCAAGAAGGTGGATGGTGTAATGCGCTCTGGGGAAGATGTAGTAAATGCATGTCACATTTGTCCAAAGGCAAATTGAAGGGTGCCACTTAAACCCAATGGCTCAACAGGTGCCATATAAACCCAAGAAAAGAGTGCCACATGCAGATGGACAGATGACCTGAGGACGGGTGCTCCTGCAGAATGTCAAGTATGTTTTCACCTGGTGAAAAGGTGGAAAAGTTAGTGTCCATTACCACACACCTGTCTCTGTGGCAGTGGTAATAAAATAGCCACGGACATGCACAGGAGCAGGGCAGCTACTCCTTGATAGACAGGACAAATGCAGCTGTTCTAACTGTGTGGGCAAATGCTGCAGAACTGCCCGAGACTGAGTGAATGGCAGGCATAAGCCAAGCTGACTCAAGTGATTTGAGAGCCAGGGGATGGAGCAGCTAGATGCTAATAGCCAGGACAATGAGAAAGGCCCTGAGGGCATTTCAGAAGTTTGGGAGCACACCCCTCCCATCACAGAGGCCTAGGAGAACTGAGTTTCTCTGGCAGACAGACCTGTGGCACCACTGCCCTCAGGAAACTGCTCCCTGCCTCCCAGCTGCTCTGGCTGGAGAAACCCTGACTCGGCCGGCCCCAAGTGTGACTCGTGCGGTAGCTCTGGGGAGTAAAAGTGAAAACCTGGGTGTCGTTCACATTGTGTTAAGTTTGCAGGCCAGCAGAACATGAGAGCAGGGGAGGCGTGACAGCCTCCACCCAGATTTCAGAAGATGAAAAAGCCCAGAGACTCTGGCAGAGACCTGCTCCGGGGGGGGAGCTGCTGGGGAGGTCATCTATGGAGCAATGTGGAGCAGAAAAGTGGGGTTGGAGCTCCCACAGAGAACCACCACTGAGGAAATGTCTAGTGGAGCCAGGATGGTAGGACTGCTGCCAGGAGCCCAGAACTGTGGGGCAGTTGGCAACATGCAGCGCCAGCCTGGAAAAACCACGGGCACCAGGGCAGCTCAATGGGCTGCACCTGGCCAAGCTGTAGGAGCGAGGTTGCCCAATGCTTTAGGGATCTAGATGCCCCAGTGTGCTTAACGTTTGCCATGTTTCGGTTTTAGATTTGTTTGGGGCCTGTTTTTCCTTTCTTGTCTATTCCTCGCTTTTGGAACAGGAATGTGTACCCATTGTCTCTCCCACTGTATCTTGGAAATAGATAAATTTGTTTTTGACTCTTCTCATGTTCACAGCTGAAAGGGGTTTTGCCTTTAGTCTCAGACTTTGGACTTTTGAGCTGGTCCTGGGACAAGCTAAAGACTTTTGGGACTGTTGGGATGGAATGTGTAATATGTGAATGCAAGGGTCAGTTATCCTCACTAAGGGGACATCGCGGAAGATTCTGAATGTGTAGACTGTACGGGCAGGGACCCTGAAGGGGTGGATTGTTGGGGAAAATACAGGAAATGGTCAGGGCCCCTCAGATGTTCAGAATCTTGCCAAGCATTTGATGTGAATATGCACATGTGCCCAGGTGTTCCTTGGTTATTGTCTAATGTAATTGTGCATGTGCACCCAGGTGTCCTGGGTTATGGACCTAAGTATAAAGGACTTACGGCTCTGATACATGGTGCTTCTTGGGACACTCCAGGAGGCCACTAGGGTGACTGCTCCTAGCTCTGAATAAAGCCTATTAATTTTTTACCCACAGCTCCCAGGACCTTTTCCTATTACCTAGCTCGTAGACCTGTGTGTGAAGGGTTTGTGACCCAGTCTGTACAAGGGGCTCAAGGGGTCTGTGAGCCCTAGCTTTACACATAGTCAAGAGTTCTGAGATAGAAACGCCCAAGGCACATCTAGGGTACTGAGAAAAATAGATTACTTTGTCTGAATTGAGTAGCTAGGAAGGTGAATGATGAGATATGGTTCAAAAGATCCTGAGGTCACACCATGAGGTCTTGAATATCAGTGTAAAGAGGCTTGGCTTTTAAGAAATGGGACCACTAAAAATTTGAGAAAGGAGAAGGGTGTTCAAAAAATCCATCTTGCAGTGATAAGCAAGATGGATTAAAGTAAGCAGTGACTGAGGCAGGAGGTCAAATTAGGATGAATTTATGTTCAGGAGATGAGGGCAACACAAATATGAAAAGAAATCCAATCTCCATGCTGAAGAGTGAATCTGCACATTCCTAAATGCTTCCTATTTCACCAAGTGGGTAGTGAATTTTAAAAAAAAAAGAAATTACAGCGAATAGGGGCTGCAGGTGACAGCCTCATAACACACAGAAGTTAGCCCCTGAATTTCTTTTAAAAGAAACAGTTGGACTCCTCTATAAATACTGTAAGTAATATTAGTACCTGCCCTTGAAATAGGGGAAGATCTCTGTGTTCATACCTTGCCCACATGGAAACATCAGGCCTATTTACAGCTTTGGAGTAGAAAAGGAGCTGAATATAAAATTGAAAATGTCTATTGATTCACTCTCTGAGCATAAAAACTTTCCATTACTATTCATTTATTTATTCATTCAATTATACAACAAACATTTACCAAGCAGTTAAAATGTTCCAGGCACAATGCTAGTCACTGGGAGATACAAAAATAAATAAAACAATATGTCCCCTTCCTCAAGGGGCTGTAGTAGAGAAGACAGATTTAGAACTAAATGCTTAGGATACAACTTCACTGGCCAAGTAATTGTACTTCTGGAATTCTGTCCTTCAAACAGATTCACGGAAATCATAGGGACAGGTGCACAGCTATTCACTATAGCAAAACATTAGCAAAATATTAGAGACCATCCAATTTCCTACCAAAATAAGTCAGAAAGGTCACAAAAGACAGAGAAGGTCATTACATACTGATAAAAGGGTCAATTCAACAGGAAGACATAATAATTAAAAAATATATACCCAACATCAGAGCACCTAAATATATAGAGTAAACACTGACAAATCTGAAGGGAGAAATAGACAACAATACAATAATAATAGGTATCATACTCCACTTTCAGTAATAGATACAGCATCCAGACAGAAAATCAATAAGGAAACAGCAGACTTGAACAACCTTATAGACCAAATGGATCTAACAGACATCAACAGAACATTTCACCCAACAGCAGAATACACATTCTTCTCAAACACACACAGAAACTTCTCCAGGATAGATTACTTGCTAGATCATAAAACAAGTCTTAACAAATTCAAGAAAATTGAGTTTATTCCAAGTATCTTCTACAACCACAAGGAAACGAAACTAGAAATTAATAACAAAAGGAAAATGGGAAATCTCACAAATATGTGTAAATTAAACAACACACTCTTAAACCACTGATCAAAGAAGAAATCAAAAAGGAAATTAGAAAATATCTTGAGGCAAATAAAAACAAAAATAGAACATGCAAAACTTATAGAATGCAGCAAAAGTGGTACAAAAAGAGTATATAATAATAAATGCCTATATTAAAAAATAAGAAAGATCTCAAACAACTTAACAAAAAAAGTCTGCCAATGGTTAAATAATGAGATATCCAAATAGGATAAAGAATGAGGCAGATCTACATATGCTAACATATGTGAATGTTCATAATTTATTAAGTGAGAAAAGCAATTATCAGCATAAGAACTATAAATATTCCCATTTTTATTAAAAAAGGAGTGTGCACACATACACAGAGGAAAATATATGGAAATATATATTCCCAAACTTATAAGCAATGCTTACTTCTAGAGAGGGTACAAATTTTCAGTGAGCATATAGTACTTGTAACTTTTTAAACCTCCAAAATTTCTTGGAAGGATACAGTGCTACAGAAATTCAAATCAAGTACTATAGAAACACAGAAGGTGGAGAAACAAACTTCACTTAGGAAAGAACGGTAGACAACAGAGGACATGAAGTTCGGACTCTATTTTAAAGGAGGAGTCAGAATTCACCTGATTAAGAAGGGGAGTGGAACATTCAAGCAGAAGGAACTACATATTCAATATACTAGGGTAGAAGAGAACAGAATGCTTATCTAGGTTTTATCTCAAAGAGTCTAAAGTCAAACCCATGGAACCTGGTGTCTTAGGCTGGCAAGATTCTTGTTAACAATGGTACAAGAAGCTCTGGGCTGACGTTAGGTCATCTCCAGTCTCAGAGTCTAGGGAATAATGCCTTGACCCCCTCAGTCCCAGAGCTTCAGGGAGGATCTATATAAAATTAAGTGGAGCT